GTCTCCCTGTTGCCTCAGTCTTTCAAGTGGCTGGAACCACAGGTGTGCCCCACCACACCTGGCTCATTTTAAAAATTTATTGTAGAGACGAGGTCTCAAACTCCTGACCTCAAGCGATCCTCCCATTTCAACCTCTCAAAGTGCCGGGATGACAGGTATGAGCCCCCGCACCCAGCCCTCAAAAGGATATTTTATACATAACTTCATCCACGTAGCAGGACACAATTATCAAGATGGAGATTTGACCCATGGCTGCCAGAGGCTAGAAGCGAGAGCAGATGGTGTGGTGAGATGGCACAGCCGAGGGTGTCTGGCGGTCAGCGTGACGCTTGAGTGTCTCAGTCGTGGTGGTGACCACACAAGGCCACACGTGTGATAGAGCCCCAAAGGGCTGCACACACAGACCAGCCAAACCCGTGAAGCAGAAGTCAGTGCCGGGACGGCGCCGACAGTGTCTTGGTCTCTCTATTGTACTGTGATTCTAGACAATGTTAGCATCGGGTGAGGCTACGTGGGACACGTGGGACGTCTGTGACTATTTCCTTGCAATCTCCTGTGAATCTACAATCATTTCAAAATAAAAAGTTGAGGCTGGGCATGGTGGCTCACAGCTGTCATCCTAGCACTTTGGGAGGCTGAGGCGGGAGGATGGCTTGAGTCCAGGATTAAGGACCAGCCTGAGCAACATAGCAAGACCCTGTCTCTTAAAAAAAAGAGTTAGAAAAAGTTCAGACTGGCCGGGCTCGGTGGCTCAGCCTGTAATCCCAGCACTTTGGGAGGCCGAGGTGAATGGATTGCCTGAGCCCGCGGGCTCGAGACCTGCCTGGGCAACCTGGCGAGACCTCATCTCTACAATAAAATAAAAAATTAGACAGATGTGGTAGCGCGCGCCTGTAGTTCCGGCTACTCGGAAGGCTGAGGCGGAAGGATCGCCGGAGCCCAGCGGGTCGAGGCTGCGGTGGCCGGGAGCGGCCGCTGCACTCCTATCTGGGTGACAGTGAGACTCCAACTCAAAAAAGAAAAAAGAAAAAGTCCAGACTTTTGGATATTAAAACACATGACTCTAAATAATGTACGTGTTACACAGGAGATCATAATGGAACTTTTTTTTAAATGACCTAAACGGAAGCAAGAAGAGAGCACACTGAAAGCAGAGATTGGCAGGAACTGCACGCGCCTGGAGACTTGCATCAGGAAGCAAGAAAGGCGCGAGAGTGTGGAATCAACCGAGCATGGGGCTTCAGAATTTGGAAAAAGAAATAGAATAAACACAAACAATATGAAAGGAAACATTCCATTAAATTATCATAAAATACATGTTTTGAGCACACGCTGAGCCGTGGACACTGTTTTCAATGCTGAAAAATAGCCAGCCCACAGGAGCCAATATTTTTGCTCGCTGGGCACCGTGGCTCATGCCTGTGATTCCGGCACTTTGGGAGGCCGAGGCGAGAGGATCACCTGAGGCCAGGATTTTGAGACCAGCCTAGGCAACTCAGGGAGACTCCTGTCTCTGCAACAACAACAGCAGGCTGGGCTCCATGGCTCAGCCTGTAATTCCAGCATTTTGGGAGGCCGAGGTGAGAGGATTGCCTGAGCCTGCGGTTTCAATACCCACCCGGGCAACTTGGCAAGACCTCATCTCTACAATAAATCAAAATGAGCCGGGCATGGTAGTGCGCGCCTGTAGTTCCGGCTACTTGGAAGGCTGAGGCAGAAGGATCGCCGGAGCCCAGCAGGTCGCGGCTGTGGTGGCCGGGAGCGGCCACTGCACTCCAGTCTGGGCCATGGAGTGAGACTTCAACTAAAAAAAGAAAGAAAGAAAAGAAAGAAATGGGTTATAGATGGGGCTTACTTTGTTCCCCCAGGTGGACTCAAACTCCTGGGCTCAAGAAATCCTTCTAGCCAGGCACTGTGGCTCTCGCCTATAATCCAATCACTTTGGGAGGCTGAGGCAGCAAGATTGCTTGAGCCCAAGAGTTCAATGTCCGCCTGGGAAATATAGAAGAACCTTGTCTCTACAGAAAATAAAAAAAATTAGCTGGGCATGGTGGTGCACGCCTGTAGTCCCAGCTACTCAAGAAGCTGAGGCAGGAGGATCGCCTGAGCCCAGGAGGTTGAGGCTGTGGTGAGCTGTGAGCATGTCACTGCTCTCCAGCCTGGGTGACAGAGTAAGACCCTGACTCAAATAAAAAAAAAAAAAGAAAAGAGAAGAAAAAACATTCTTCCACCTCAGCTTCCAGAGTAGCTGGGACTAAGGGTGTGCGCCACCATGCCTGATGTCTGTGGTCTTTTAAACTATGGTTTCCCTTTCCTTGGTAGTTATATAACTAGGTGGACTTTCTGTTTCTTCTGGAGTCAACTTCACATATTTCTAGGAGGGTATCCACTGCAAATGGGTTGGCATAGTCTTCCTTAAAATCCCCTTTTAGAATTCGCTTGACTTCTGTTCTTCCTCATCCCTGTTGTTTGTTCAGGCTGGAGTGCAGTGGCACACTCACAGCCACCCCGGTGTTGACCTGCTGGGCTCTGGTGATCCTTCCTCCTCAGCCTTCCAAGCGGCCAGAACTACAGGCGTGCACTACCATGACCGGCTCATTTTTTTATCTATTGTAGAGACAAGGTCTCACCAAGTTGCCCGGGCTGGTCTCGAACCCACGGTCTTGGACAATCCACTCACCTTGGCCTCCCAAAGTGCTGGGATTGCAGGCTGAGCAACCGAGCCTAGCCATTATAATTATTTTTTAGAGACAGGGTCTCACTCTCACCCAGGCTGGAGCACCGTCATAACTCACCGCAGCCTCAAATGCTTGGCTCAAGCGACATTTTCCCCTCAGCTTCCCAAAAGGCTGGGATTACAGGCTAGAGCCACCATGCTCAGCCAAGGTTAGTATAATCCTGCTATCAGAAGAGGAGCCAGGTACGGTGGCATGTGCCTATAATCTCAGCTACTCAGGAGGCTGAGGTGGGAGGATCACTTGAGCCCAGGAGTTACAGGCTAGCCTGGGCAACATAGTAAGAGCCCAACAATTTTACTTTGTTTTGTTTTGTTTTGTTTTAGTCGGAGTCTCATTCTGTCGCCTAGGCTGTAGCACAGTGGCACGATCCTGGTCACCGCAGCCTCGACCTGATGGGCTCAGGTGATCCTTCCGCCTCAGCCTTCCAAGTCGCTAGAACTACAGGTGTGTGCCACCAGAGGTTATCTCCTAAAAAAAGAGCTTGGCAAGCTGATTCTAAAATTTCCACGGAAACAGTGTGGTGGCTCATGCCTGTAATCCCAGCACTTTGGGAGGTGGAGCCCAGGGGTTCAAGACCAGTCTGACTGAGCAACATGCCTGTAGCCCCAGCTGCTTGGAAGGCTGAGGTGGAAGGATCACCTGAGCCCAACAGGTGGAGGCTGTGGTAGCCATGAGCATGCCACTGCATTCCAGTCAGGGCAACAGAATGAGACTCTGACTCCAAAAAAAAATTTTTCTTTTCATGGACCAGCAAAAGGGCATAAAATAGCTCCAGTCAAGCAAAAGCACAAAAAGAGAGGTTTTTCTTCCTAGAGGTCAAAACGTGCCCCCAGGCTTGGGAGAGGGGGTCCTGAGTGGCAGGGTGTGCCAGGCTGTTGCATGGAGACCCCCACACAGAGCCCTGCTTCTGGGGATGGCACGGGATGGGCTGAGGACTGTGGACAGGAGACATGGTGCTGGGCGGCCAGTTCTCCCCATGGCAAAGCATGAACTGGAATCCTTCCTAGAATCCTACACACAAAACCCACTTCCTGGCACAATCAAAAGATTTGCAAAATCATAAAGCCCAGCCAGGCACAGCGGCTCACGCCTGTCATCCCAGCATTTTGAGAGGCGGAGGAGAGAGGATTGCCTGAGCCTAGAGGTTCAAGACCAGCCTGGGCAACATAGCAAGACCTCATCTCTACAATTAAAAAAAAATTAGCCAGGTGTGGTGACAGTTGCCTGTAGTCCCAGCCACTTGGAAACCTGAGGCGGAAGGATGGCCTAAGTCCAGCAGTTGCGGCTGTGGTGGCCGTGATTGTGCCACTGCTGTCCAGCCTGGATGAGAGTGAGACTCGAACTCAAAAAAAAAAAAAAAAGTGCCAGAGGGGAACATCTTCACGACCTCATGGCAGATCACTCACATAGGACCCCAGAGGAGCAAACGATCGGGGTGGGGAGCCTGACACATCCCGGCCTGCTAGGACTTGCAGGTTCTAACTGCCAGGGCCCAGAGTCCAGAACACAAGGAAGCGCATTTGCAAGTCAATAAGACCACGATGCTGAATGATTTCTAGAAAATGACGAGAGGCTTGGACGGGTGCCTCGCGGAACGCCGGAAGATGCCTGTCTCGTCAGTGACAGGTAAGACGCAAATCAGCGCCCCTTTTCTTTTTCTGAGTCGGGGTCTCATCTGTCGCCCACACTGGAGCGCAGTGGCACACTCACGCTCACCGCAGCCTTAATCCGCTGGACTCAAGGAAACCTCCTGCCTCAGCCTCCCGAGTAGCTGGGACTATAGAGGTGCACCACCATGCCCTGCTAATCTTTTGATTTTTTTGTAGAAGCAGTCTTGCTATGTTGCCCAGGCTGGGCTCAAACACCTGGGCTCAAGTGGTCCTCCCACCTCAGCCTCCCAAAGTGCTGGGATGACAGGCGTGAGCCACCATGCCCAGTCTCAAAGAGACAGAATTTCCACTTCAGTGGTGTCCCCAAAGTCTAAACACTGTACCCAAGTGTCACTGAGGACAGGGAGAAGTCAGACATCATATGTGCTCATGGGAGCCAGCTGGAACTGTCTTTCGGGAAACAGCCTGGCATTTGCGAGTGACACTGCACACACTTACACTGCACCCAGCAACTCTGCTCCGGGATGCTCCCAGAGAAACATCTGCAAGTGTGCACATGTGTGTAGCATCAATCTTGGCAGGAACCCAATGCCAGACACCCTGCGGGTCACTGGCTGCAGAGTGACATGTCAGTGTCACACGAGCCACCGGAATGCACAAGCCAACCTTCCAACGTCAGCACGGCGATCTCAAACATCGAAGGCAGCGGACGAAGCAGGTTCCAGAACGTGTCCGGTATCCAGCGACCATCGGGGGCGCCTCTCGCATCCTGGTGTGGACACGCCTGTTCCTGGTACTGCGATTCTTACCAAGGCACCTACACGCCCCACCCGCTCGCTCCTGTGTCTCCTGCCTCTCATAGGCAGCCCGGCCTCCCCTCCTCCCGGGAGCCTTTTGGAGGTCTGCTCTCTCCGGGTGAGGGGGGTGCCTTCCCTGGGTCTTCACCGCGGAGCTCGTGAGTACTCACTCGTTGTCTGCGGGGAGTATGGCATGTTTCGGGCCTACAGGGGGTGCTCTGGACGCATGTGTTGAGTGACTGAATGAGGACATGAAGTCGGGCCGCGAGTGAAGGCCTTCCCAACCGAGGGGCTTCTGAGGGAGACTGAGGCAGGACAGCCAGGATCTCAGCAGGCCCTGGCCACCCAACGTTCCCCTTCCTGGGCGGTCTGAGGCCTGGGGAGAAGGAGGCTCTGAAGACCTTCCCCTGGCCTCTCCCGGCACCTCTCAGCATCTGAATTCCTCCATGGAGCACTGGCCAAGCCATGTGCAGCACATCTGGAGCCCCCGCCCCCGTGGGACTCCCCGAGGCCGGGCGTCCCACCCAGAGCCTCTCCACTCCTGCAGCTCCAGCCAGCTCCCCTCTGACGTACCCCCCAGTCCGCCTTCCAGGGGCCCCCAGTCCGTGCCAGGAAGGGGTGTTCCCGCCCTCCTTCTGTCTCAGAGAGAACTCGACCTCAGCCTTTGTCCCAGCTGCTCGGGGCGCCCTCCCTCCCTCCCTCCCTTCCAGGCGAATCTGGGCGCGCGGCCACGAGCCGGTTCCCGCCAGGGCAGCGTCCAGGCCCTCCGCCCGCCCCCTCCTCTCGGGCCTGGCAGGGCTCCTGCTGCCCCAGGCCTGGGCTTGATGTCCGTCCAAGGACAGTCCAGAACACCAGGAAGCCCTGTGGGGTCTGGCAGGACAAGGCGGGGGAGGTGTGGGGGTGGGGCCAGGCCTGCAGCGCCCAGACCTCCGCGCCCCTCATGCGCTGGCCTCCTTGCGGGCTGCCTTTGTCCCTCGCGCCTCAGGGCGATGTCCCTGTGTGCGCCGCGTGACCTTGGGGCTTTGGAAGGGGAAGAAAGAGGGCCTGGTGGGGTCGCTGGTGGGAAACTGGCGCCTGGAGCCCCGCACTGGCCACACCAAAGACCGAACTGCCAGGCTGGGCTTCGGGGAGGCCAAGCCACCGCCCCGGCTCCCACCCCTCCCTCTGGGGTCCTGAGCTAGAAGAAAGACGCCTTTGCTGGCCTGTGACACCAGACCCTCAGTCCGGACTCCATCCTGACCCCACTGTCCATTCCAGAGGGCCAGGGCACTGCCGGGCGCTGCCCAGACCCACCCCCTCCAAGGCCACCCTTCTGGCGCCAGCTGCCCAAGCTCCCTGGTGGTCTTGCCATGTGGCTCCCGGCTGCTGCGTGACTGGGATGCTTTGTGCGGGAATTCCCACTTCGCTGAAAGCACGAAGCGGCGGGGCCCCACCAAGGGCCTGGCCAGGCTGGCTCACAGGGCATGTTGGGGGTCAGAGGGGAGAGGCCAGACACTTCATGGCGTGGAGGAGCAGGGCTTGGATCTGAGGCCAGCTGGGCAGCTGCCCACCCGGTCTCTAAGAACATGCTGCTGACCAGTGCCCAAGCCTGGCCGGGGAGGCCTTGCTCACCAAGGACCCTCCTAGCTCCCTTCCTGGGGAGGCCTTCTGTGGCCCCGCAGTCTAGGCCTTGGTGTCCCCCAGACAAAGGGGCCAGCGGGGATGGCCCAGGCCCTGAGCAGGGCAGGGACTTGAGCCTTATCTGAGCTCAGTTTCTCTGGTGGTTCTGGGCTTGATGTGACTGTGGGTGACCCCTGCTGTTCTCTGCCTGTGTCCTTACCTGTGCTCTGAGGACAGGGGTTATGGACAGTGGGCCTGACTCAGCCCTTCCTGCTGCTGGGTTTTGGGTGTCGGACCGAGGCAGGCCACGTGCAGCCCCCGGTCACGGCGCCCAGGGCTCGCGGGCACCTCAGGCCACTGGCCCTTTCGTGCCAGGAGGGTGCTCCACGGCCGGTCCTGGGTGTTGGCTCCCAGGACTTGCCCGCAGTGGATGCCGACCCCCATTTCTTCCTGTGCCCCCAGCCTGGAACCCACGGGGCTCCCGTGGTGGACAGCGCCTCTCTCCTGCAAGGAGGCCTGGCTCCCTTTCCCGGGCCGGGGCACGCCGGGCGCTCAGCCGAAAGCCTTCTAGCGAGACGCCCTGAGCCGCCTCTGCCCGCGCACCC